ATCTTGCATTCAAAGGGTAACGACAGAAGTACTTTTTTAACACTAAAATTCTGAGGTCATAGGGATTTTTCAGCTCTCAAATGACCCTCAAATGTTTTTAGGAAGACACAAGTGTTTGTATTAAGCATGACCTTCAAGTGCACTCTTGGAATTGTTTGTTAGGTAGTTCTAAGTAACCTTTAAGGACTTATGTACAGACAAAGCAGGAAGATAGCAAATTGACACTATGCTGAAGCTACATTTTGTCCTGATTGCAACAGTTTTTAAACACTTGTAAAAACAATTTAAACAAATGGTGGGTTTTGTTTATTTTGTTTATCCTTTGGCCACAAATGTGGCCTAGGAAAATGTTCTCTAACCCCACATCGTCTATAAGCATTTATGCAGTCTCACAAAGCATTTGACAAGTATGACGAGCTTTGTCCTGCTTGATATTCTTTCTAAATTGGAGAGAATTGGATTGGGTGGATGGACCACTCAGTGGATGAGGAATTGGCTGGATGGTGACACTCAAAGAGTTGTGGTCAACAGCTCAATGTCCAAGTGGAGACCAGTGGCAAGTGGCGTTCCTCAGGGGTCAGTACTGGGACCAGCACTGTTTAACATCTTTGTTGGTGACATGGACAGGGGGATCAAGTGCGCCCTCAGCAAGTTTGCCAACACCACCAAGCTGTGTGGTGCAGTTGACATGCTGTACAGAAGGGATGCCATCCAGAGGGACCTTGACAGGCTCAAGAGGTGGGCCTATGCAAACCTCATGAAGTTCAACAAGGCCAAGTGCAAAGTCCTACACCTGGGTCAGGGCAATACGAATCACAAACATAGGCTGTGCAGAGACTGGATTGGGAGCAGCCCTGAAGAGAAAGTCTTGGGGTTGTTGGCTGATCGGAAGCTCAACAAGATTTGGCAATGTGTGCATGCAGCCCAGAAAGCCAGCCGTATGGCTGGGCTTCACCAAAAGGAGCATGTCCAGCAGCTCGAGGGAGGTGATTCAGCCCCTCTACTCCACTCTTGTGAGACCCCACCTGGTGTTCTGCATTCAAGTCTGGGGCCCCAACAAAAGAAGGAAGTACAGAAGTGAAGCCAAAGGATGGCCACAAAGATAATCAGAGGGCTAGAGCACCTCTCCTATGAAGACAGGCTGAGAGAGTTGGGCTTATTAAGCCTGAAGAAGAGAAGGTTCTGCAGAGACCTTTGAGCAGCCTTCCAATACCTAAAGGGGGCCTACACAAGAGCTGGAGAGGGATTTTATACAACAGCACATAGGGATAGGACAAGGGATAATGTTTTTAAAGAGAAGTTTTGGAAGCCCTATCCCTGGAAGTGTTCAAGGCCA